GATTTTGGGCTGGACTGTTGGCCCACCCTTTCTCCACCGAGCCTTGCCCTGACGCGGGGGCTCAGGACCTTCCATAGAAGCTCTGCCTGGCACCGCGTGGAGCTACGTGTTTGGGGGGTTCTTCTTCCAGGACAGGCAGTCCAGTTAAGGTTTAGGTAGGGTCAGGGTTTATGGAGGTGGAGTATGCAAATGGGGCACGCTGATGATTGTTGGAAACATCCATTTTGAACAAGGTTACGTATTAGGCGATTCCTCCCGACAGGTACTACAAGGAAAGACTAGCAGTTACAATAGCCCCTCAGTAAACCCCTTTGACGACAGTTACTGTAAGGGGGAATGACCCGAGTTGCACCAGTCTAAGAGTCCTGTAAACCTTTCGCCATATCTTTCCACTGAGCATGGCAGAATCTGCTCGACTTGATACACGGGGCTCACAAAACGGAGGTCCCTTTTTGGGCGTCCCTCTTGATGGGGGTGCAATAGACTTGGGAACGAACGGGTAAATAAGGGGACCCTGATTTTTAGAAACTCCCATAATCCAAACTCCAGAACCCTGCAAAGAGGATCGCGGGGACAAAGGAAAGCATTGACTGCTTGCATTGGACCGCCATCAGATTTCTAGGCGACCTGCCCAGCCCACTCCCCAGCTCCACAACCCCAAAAGCAAAGTCGAAGTCCGAAAATCAATCCAACAAGGCGTGAGTCGCAGCAGACCTCCCATGAACCTCATACGCGAACTCAATCTAAGTCTCCCCAAGTCTAAATGTACCTAAACCCTAAACCTCTAAAAATCCTCATCCAATCAATCAGGTTGGGGCTGCTCCCCGCTGGCCCCCTGCTACCGCGGCACCGATGTGAAGGTGGCCCCTGGGCTCCAGGAAGTCGGGCTTAGGGTTCAGGGATTCAGGGTTCAGGGTTTAGCGGGTTTAGGGATTTAAGGTTCAGGAGTTTAGGGGTTTTGGGTTTCGGGGTTTAGGGGTCTAGGGTTTAGGGGTTAGGGGTTGAGGGTTTAGGGGTTAAGGGCTTAAGGTGGCCCAGTTCACAATTTCCAGAAATCCGGTCTGCAGCCCTTTCTAGGGTTTAGGGTTTTTAGGGTTTAGGGTGCGTAGGGTGTTTAAGGTTTAGGGGTAGGTTTACGTTTTGGGGGTTTTAGGAGCTCAGTGTTTATGGGTTGCAGACGTTAAGTAGAGTTCAGGGATTAAGGTTTTGCCGCTTGCATGGCCATACAATTAGGGTTTTGGGCTTAGGGGTTCAGGGGTTCAGATCTAGGGAATCTGGGGCTCATTGCCTGGGGGTTTCGGACCTGGTGTTGGATGCTACAACTATGCCTCAAGCTATGTTACGGCTGCAATGCGCTAGATGGGTTCCCTCCCAAGCTAGTATGGAACCCCCTGACCGGACTGTGGTGTTCATGGTCTTCCTAAGGCCCTTTTGGGATTCCATGTTTCTTTGGGGCAGGGCAACTGAGACGAACCTTTGTTGACAAGATTGGCGCACAGTCTTGAGGAAGGAAGGACGTTTCGCGGCATAGGCTTCATGGGCTTACGTGTTAAGTCAACGCCTTGGGCGTAGCATATATTACTTTTGAGTGTTTAGGGTCAACGGCCTTCATTTTGGGGGTGCTCAGCTTCCGTGACCGACTCTGCCATTACCTCCTTCAACAGGCTTTACCAGGATTTTAGCATTCTTTGCAGGGCAATATGGGCACTTACGGTAACATTCAAACGCCTGCTCTGCCCACCATCTTCCGCGTGCCCTTCCAAGAATGAGGCTCGCGATTCTGAACTCTAACTACTGCAGCCCCTCTAGCCGAAATTGAGATTCCCAAAACAAAGCAACAAGTTTGAAAACCCAACCATGTGAACTTCAGGCTCAGGGTTGAGGTGGGTACATCGCAGACCTCGGCACATAGCCTTCAGTTGGGCATCGACCTGTGCCCATAAAGAAAGGAATCGTAGAATTCTGCCTGGGGCGTGGCCAAGCTCTCAGCACAAAACCCTGAAACATTCGAAGAAGACAGCACGCACCCGCAGGGCTCAGAGACCCTCAGGACTGCAGTCATGAAAGAACACAACCGAGCCAAGTGATGGCTTCTCTGAAGTACCGATCCTGTTTTTTCTGATCCCGAGAAAAGCATTGCCCCTTGAACCTGCAGGCGCAAACCAGCCCTCTTCATACTGCCTGCAGCATCGCAAAACTGCCTTGAAAACCAACTGAAAGGACCCAATATACCACCGATTTTTCCGATGTATGCGTCCTCTGACAGTCTGTCAAGGCACTGCGAGGCCCCGCGTAGAAGGACGACATCACTTCCCATGGAGTTTAAATTGTAAGGGCTGGGGCTCGGGGTTCGGGCTGCAAAACGTCTAGGTTCAGTGTTGAAATCTTCTGGAATGCATGCTTGTGGTTTGGAACTTGCTGAAGTTTGGGCTCTTAGGGGCTTGGCTAGGGATTCGGTGGCCCTTTGCAGGTATGTTTTAGGGTTCTAGCAAAAACTACGCAGTATGTTATGAGATCTCACATGCTTCCAGGGACATATAGGGTCTAGACAGCTTTGTTATGGCGGTTGAGCTCAGAACTCGGATGCAGACTTGTCACGTGCTCAGACCTCTCACATCCGCAAAAAGAGGATAGATTAGGAGGACCCCTCACCCTGCAATAGTGACTATAAGGGATAATAAGGATTATATTAGGGCCTCCTAAAGGATAGATCCTACCTCCAACTCCGGCTTCGCCTTCCCAAAAACAACAGGCTCCTAGGGTTAAGGGCCCTCATATGTCCCACAAAGATAGCAACATTTCTGTAGAAGGAAGGTTCGAGCAGGAGAACACATATCAGATGAAGTCTTCCCTAATTGAATGAAGAACCCTTCCACCCCCTAACAATCAAGATGGCTTCCTGTGCTCGTATTGGGAAAACTTCTCTGGGGGGCGTTTGGAACTTTCTTGTTAGGGGAGGGCTTACACTCTAAACCTTAACGCTCTCAGCAAGCAAAGTTGCGGAGGCCTACTTGGGTCAGCTCAGTCATCTGGGATCCAGGATCATGTGCAAAGCAGAGTTATGGTTCGGGGGGGTCTCGGTTCAAGGGTTTGGGCTTGAGAGTATGACCACGCATCCTTAGACACGAAACTAGGATTGCGGAGGTCCCTCTCATGGTTCTCACGGACGATGCCAAGAAAAACTCAAAATCTGGTCAGGACACTCTGGCAACCAATTGTCAAATGCAAGCCAGCACAGTGCTTTTCATCACTACCTCGCGTCAATCCAGACTCCGCGAACTCAGCAGACGTGCTCTCTTTGCCTGCCTCATGCTGGGAAAACATTCGGCTTTCTCTACAGTCTCATGTGGGCTCCTGGCTGAAGAAAGTTATTGGAAGGAGACGCTTCAACAGGCTGGGCTTGATGGGGTATGCATGAGAACATCTCATGGATTGCTTGGTGCCGGGTCCATGCGATGAGGCTCCCGCTACTTTGGTATATGCGAGGGGACCCTATTCCTGAGACCTATCACAGTGTTGGTTTTCGTGACAAAGTTTCGTTGCCAAGGAACATTGCAAGGTTAAGGAGAAACTGAAAGGTGCAGGCTGCAAGAAAGGTTTCAGCGGCGAAGGCCAGGGCGAGAAAGGGTTCTAGAAAGGGTTTAATTGTGGGTTTCGGGCAAAAAAGTGTCCAGTTGGTTGGGTAAAGCAAATCGTTCAGGGTTTCGGGCGACAATGCGTTGATGCCTGGCTTTTGGCGTTGGAACATGTTGGAACAACCACTCGAACAGGACCTTTACGTTGGGTGCGTGGGATGTTTACATCTTTCAAGGGCAGATTGTTCGAATGGAGTTTGGCGATGCATCGCTGGTGTAAACCAAGAACCCCAGCTTACAAATCATAGCTACTTACCCTAAACCCTAAACCTGAGCCTCCAACTCAACCCCTAACTACACAACCATGAACCCTTCCTGGCAAGCCTGAAGCGCCAACGCCCTAACCCTAAACCAGCTCCGATTGCCCGCCACAGCTGCTGCGCCTTCGCCGTCATTGTCGAGCCTTGCACATGAGCTATGGGCGGATAGACTTGTACTCATGCTTGGTTGGCAATGGGAACCATAATGGGGACTGCTCATGGGGAAAACCTCTGCTGCCAGCTGAGCCTGAGTAGGTGGAAAACACGCAACAAAGCGCATCCGAATCCTGCACGTGCAAGGCACAAATGAGTGTTGCTTTGGTCAATCTCTCACTTGCTTGAACAAACAGGACAGACTGGCAGACCGCCATGGCCAACAATCCATGGTCTGCCTCTAGCATGGTCAACGGAGATAATAATTAACGTGCGCATTCGAACGCTTCTTTTCGATGCAGGAAAGGACCGTTAGCATACTAGTCCCTACAAAAGCCCTTCATCCATTTCTATACCCAGCTCCTGAATGCCTCGTATGAACACCCAGCAAGTTTTATCCTCAGCGCCGTAACCTTCGCCACGCGCACCCAAGTGCGGAGGCATCGGCATCCTGGCCCTGGTCGCAATTCAAAGATATGGGGTTTCCAAAAATGCGGCATCTCTTTTTTGAGAGGGCCCGTATTACAAGGATTGTAATATGTCATTGGGCCCCAACTTACGGAAACCCCCAATGTCTTGCTTCTGAGCAACCGTTTTCGGTTGGGCATAGCGAAACCGGATAACGCACTGTGAATTCGCTCACGAAACGAAGCGAGCGGCCTTTGATTTCCCAAAGGCCCTGTCACAAAAGAGTCATGGAACGAGCTCGATGGAACGATCCTCGCTGAGAGGTGGCAGGCTCTTCGGCTGGGGACCTCCTGTCGTTTTTGAAACGCCACAGAAAGCGGGACGTAGGCCCTTGAGGCACGTGATCGTACCTTTCTTGGCCAGCTCAACCGTAGCAAAAGCAACAGAACGACTTTCATCATTCGTGTTGCAACCATGCAAAACTTTGCTGCAGGGATCATGCTCACACTTGTGTTGGCCAATTCGGCCATTGCAATGATTTCAACTATGTCTGTTGATGCTGCTCTTCACCCAGCGGGACTTGAAGTGGCCGTCCTTCCAGGCAGTTGTCCGCAGGCTCTTCTTCTCCATGGGGGTTCCCGATCACGGCAGCGGGAGCAGTACCCGATGATGCCGCCGAACCTCGCTTTGTCTGGTTTACGTGGAGGTGGGGGGGCACCAAAGGGATAGAGCTGCATGTTCAGGAGCTCTGTGCGTTGCACGCCAAGGGTACTTCGGGCCTGGAGCACAATACTCCCAAAAATGTCACCGCTTCATGATCATGATCTCGCTGCGTCCCCCTCCAAATTTCAAGTGACTCCCATTTGCGTAGTTCAAGGTCTTTTTGCAGCAGGAAGTGAGATAGGTAGGCTGGGACTACCACAAACATCATTAAGGACCCTGGAGCTAGGAGTTAGGTGATATACTACCCTTAATCACGCGATTGAATCGTAACCCTCCTGTACCGTTCATAAGTAGATTCCCTGATCCATCTGTAACCCCAGGGTGCCGCAAAGAAGAAGCACCCCAAACCCTAAACCCTGAACCCAAAAACCCTAAACCGCGAGGACGCCTAAGCCGAGGCACCATGAAGCTCCTTCTTCTCTGCCTTCCTGGGGAGGAACCCCTGAGAACCCCAACAATGTATGCAGGTTGCAAAAGGGATTAGGGAGGTCCCTACTTAGGATTCCACGAAAGGATTCTACAGGGGCAATTTTGAAAAACACCTTCCTCTTCACAGCAGCTTTGGCCTTCTTTCCACTCTGGGTTCTGGTCGGTGGTGCCGCTAAATCAGCAAGGTCCACATTCGAGGTGTCAGCTGAGTCAATGACTGCACACTCGACCTCCGACACCTTGGCCACGGCGCCTGGCAACAAATGCGGAAGCCCCCATTTCTAGCGGCAACTTAGCTTGACATGTTGCGCCGTATTCAACCCATCCTTGGGAACCACCATTAAGGTGTCGGCCCCGCCTTCGCGCATCTTCCTCTTGACCTTTCTTCGCTTCTTCTGCGTCTCATGCGGCGAAGAAGGCATCGCGTCAGCAGAGTTTTCGATGGCTGCTACCGCATCCTCGATGGAGAGGGCGATGTCATCCGGGTCACCTCCGTTTGCGCAAGATCGAAGGTAAGTCAGGCGATGCCTAAAAGCATGTGGATGTTCATTCGCCGAACCGTCCTCTCCCTCCTAGGCGCTTGTCAGAATAGCTTGACATCGTACAGAAAAGCCAGGGCAATGACATGACTGAATAATTTCGCTGAGCCGTATACTGTTGGAAGTCCCCGGAATCATAAACCCTGGGCAATCTAGAAGATATTCAATTCCCAATCGACGGCCCTTTTGGTACTATTGCCTATATAAATCACCGCCTGAAGCTGCCCCAACCCCAAGCCCAGAACCAAAAGCTAAGCCCAAAGCTCTGAACCCTAAACCCTAAAGCTCCATACACTTCCGCCTTCATGGCCTTTGGGCTTCTCAGTGTCCTCTGCGGGAGGCGCAGTTCCTGCCTTTGCCTGTTTGCGGTTTGGGTTTGGGGTGCGTGCATAGAAATGCCAGAAGTAATGCTCTATGTTTCACAGGAAATTTCAAATTTTGGCACATAGCCAAACTCAGAAGCCCAGGAAAGGAACCTCGCAAAACTCTAGAGGGCTAGCTGAACATCGGGATAGGGACACCTAGGTACCCTTAGTGCAGGTGGAATCTCAGGGGAATGGCAGAATCCCTGTCAGGAAAAGGAAGAGAGGTGGCCTCCAACATTGTTCTTGAAATAGGGCTCCATTGGGCTAAGCCTTCAAGACTGCAAATGGGTCCCTCTATTCCCGAAGAGCCACCCATGTTGGGAAACCCCTGTTTGGGCTGATGGCGCACCATGCCTCCACATGCGGACTTGCTTGCAGATTGCCTTCCGAATCTTCAGCATCGCTGGCACTTTGTGCCTGTGATGGCGCGCTTCCCTCTTCTTCGGAGTTGCCGTCAATGATGTGCCTGGAAGGGCGCCTGAAACGCTGCTGGGAAGGGCGCCTGAAACGCTGCTTCAGAAGGTGCCTGAAAGGCACGAATTCACCAGTATTTTTGTCGAAGCAGAGGTGCAAGAAGTTGAAGCAGGTCAGGTTGAAACCCAGCATGCAGATCAGGCCGAAAACTTCCGGTGCTGGCGTGTAGCCACAGTTCGTAAAAAGGTATGCCAGCAAGGCGCAACCTGCTGTCTCAAGCCATCGTATTGTCAAGACTAGTCCGCTCAACGACTTGACAAATTCTGAGTGGCTGTCGGTAAGTTCCCCCCAAGGCAGCAGCGGCACCATGTACGCGCCAAAAAAGCCCCAGCAGCATTCCCTGCAATAGTCCGGTCCTTCTATTATCTGTGAGGCGGCGAAGGCGCATGTAGCTGCCATCGACATCAGCGCAATGAACACCAGCCCATAGGGCCGAGAGCCCTGCGAGAGGACCAGAGCCACACCAGCAGACCTCATGACCTGGTCGCTGGCCAGCCAGAGGAAAGTCACCACGTGGTAGAAAGGATTCTGCAAACGCTTGGCAACCTCAGGACTCACCATATACCCAGGCGCCACCTTCATTATGCCATGGGCCAGCGCCGAGACAGAGATGCACACTGAGACCAGCTGCGCTGGATCCCCGTGGGATCCAACAGCAAAAAGGACGTACGATTGGAAGTAGAATTGGGGAGCACTCTCGCACGCCTTTGTGACAAGCTCTCGCGTGGCAACAACAGACACACTTTGATGACTAGACCTGTCCGACAGGTCAGGAGCTCCAAGCTTGAAGATCAAAGCAATGTCCATCACATAGTGCATCTGGAAAAAGGCCAGCACAAACAACGAGAGGTATGTCGCATACGACCCAACGCACGTCTTGGGAAGTCTGTGCAAGTCCTTTAGAACATCGCGAGCCACCATCACCCATATTGCACTCTGCAAGGAGTTCGACATGACCAGGAGGGAAAGTCCAATCCCGAACCAGGCTGGATGCGCCTCACAGGCCTCAGATACAACAGCTGGGTCGCAGCTGGTACTCAGCTGCGACTCCAGCACGCAGCCGAATCGCAGCACCACCAAGGTATCCGAGATGAAATCTGCCATGTTGAGGCAAGCTGTGAACATCAAGCTGAGGAGGAACTTGGTCTTCTTCGAGATTTCTGGCAATTTTGGCAGAGCCCAGAACCTCTCTGGCTTGTCCCTCTTCGGTGGAGGCCCGTGAGATTTCAGAGTCCTTCTTTCAACATCGTCAGATCGTACAGATCTGGCCTCGCAACTTTGTTCAACGCTGACGGCTCTCTCAGAGTTCAGAGGCTCCGACTTGTTGTTGGAGTTCAGCTCAGTGGCATCCTGCTGCATCATCGTCACCAACTACTACTACTCAACACTTTTGAAGGCAAACCTTCGAATGCAGGCGCGGCTCACCGTCGCAAGCCGAGCATGAAGGAGCCGCTGCTCTGCAACAATTGCCGTTAGGCTGACACGAGGCTATCATATGCACTGCTATGCACTAGATGCTTAACACTTCACTGCCTAGTGCTGTTGAGGCTGCAGCTGCCTGTCTCTCTGCGCATCATATTTGAAATCCCCAGCCTTGCCGATCCTGCGGCGAGCCGAACACGGAGCATCACCAGCAAAACAGCTGTCCCTCTAGGCGACTGTGTACATGCTTGTTTTGAAAGTGTTCTGTTGGGAGCCCCTGCTGAAGCTGACCCAACAATTTGCAGTCTTCAATAAAGGCTCATCATTAAGAGCAAGGGGGCTCACCGTGCACGATGTTGACCTGCTGCTTGACCCGCTAAGGACAATGGTAAGACTGGTGTTGGGACATTCTGCATTTACGCTGAGAAACCGACAAAGCAGCCGCGGCCTGCACGCAAGTGATCATCTCAACTTGTGCTACACAACTCGGATTGGGTTCGCATGTGCAAATATCATACTGCTTTGTGGAGTTCTTTTTTAGGCGCCCTCTGAAATGTAGAGTCAGCCTGTGTAGGGGTTGAGTTGCTCTGGAAAAAAGCGTAAGCCTGTAGTTCTTGTAATAAATAGCATCAAAGGCCAAGTGCGCACCTTGCTCAGTGAAGGAGATGCTGAAAGCCCAGAAGACCGACACTTAAGACGCGACTTGAGGCCCTGCCAGCCCTGCCATGCAAGAGTGAACGCCCTAGCAACAGATGCTCTCCACTACCCCAACCAAAGTCGAGCTGCAAGGGGTCGGCGAAGGACACCACCATTACTCATTGCTCACTCCCTTGATAGGATTTGCCGCCGGGGTGGCCCAAACTCTGGACCTACTACGCTTGCTTAGCAGATTCCAGATTTGTGGGAGGCTTGAAAACCTGGTAGCTTGACCATCTGTCTCAGGCCACACCCACTGGCGCCTTTCGCTGGCAACGGCCAGCTGGGCTGCTGGACAATCAAAGGTGCACCAGGGTCTTTGAACCATCCTCAATTGATTTCCTGAATGAAGTGTTGAGTCTGTGATGTCAGCCACGTGCTCATGACGGCGCAATCTGGACTAGTAAACGAAAAGCTTGAACCTGCAACTCGAGCAGAAAGTAAAACATCACCTAGTGCGCAAGCTTTGCACCAGGTCAGTCTCTTTCTGTGTCAGAAAAGCACCTCTTCATGACTCATTGCTCAACTGGTATATCTTCCTGTGATCACCATACCCAAATGACCCTATCCCCTAAACGCTAGGCCCTAGGCTCCAGGCTGCAAACCTTACATATCCCGAAAGACCCCAACCTGGACAAGATGTGGTTTTACGAATTTCGGCTTGCACCCTCTAGGCCCACCACGCCCGTGGGCTCCGCCTAGACTGGTACTGTCGATAAGCAGGATCACTAGTATACTATAACGGTGATGATAGAAATCCTTCCCCACCCTCAGTCCCATAATGTCAAGGACCTAGGACCTAGGAGTTACATCAGTTTGGGATGAGATGTTCAGCCATCCAGCCGTACCATCAGTCAAGAGTTGAAGGCTTAATACATTATATGCCTACTTTGCCCAAGCTATGGGCCATGCCAAGGTTCGTGAGAATTGTGCACCTCCACCGAATCTTGACCTGTAACTGCCACTGCGAGCATTCCCCATGCCCATGTTTGGGGTATTTGAACCAGGAAAACACACAGGGTTCTTCCAGCAACTAGGGGCCGTCACGAGTTCCCTACAGGAAGGACAATGTCAGCTCAGGTTGTTGTAGGGAACCCCATCTTGAATACATCCAAGATGGCTGGCAGGACCGGTGTTCTTTCGCCGCAGTCTGGGTTTCTGTTAAAAAGCTCCAATTCAGTTAGCATACTATGGGTATGTAGCAAGTAATAGGCTTTCCTTATTGCAGTACTGCAGTTTATATGGGTGTGTACCCTTTCAAGTAACTCAAATTAAGTTCGCTAACAGCATCCTCGCAGTTTTCACCTTCACGCCGTCGGGCAGCAGCGTCCCAGGGAGGCCCCGCAAGCTAGGCGCCTGGCCTGCACGGCAAGGCCTGTTAACCACGTATCACAACACGCACCATGCTAAGCACTCCCAACATAATGCCACTGCAGTTTGAATAAATTATGCTACAAACGAGCTACTAGTGGGATGGGGGAAGCGTATGTGGGAGGTGAGAGATTCATGAAGCTAGTTACTCTTGACAGATCACCCTCAGGATATATCAAGTTGGATTTTGATTATGGACACCAACGCAGACACTCACAACGTTCAATCTCTTCTTACACTCACCAAACCATACTCTAAAGACTGAACTCAAATGGTCATTTCCCAAAATGTGGGACCCCAATGTAGACTCCAAAAAACTACAATCCTGATGATAGGAGGTCTGGACGCTGGGCTTTCTGTCCAGAGTGCCCTCACGAGATGAGGCGAGAGGTCTGCAGCCTGGGGCAGGCTTTGGGGTTTTAGGCATTCTTGCGGGTTTGGGGAGTGTAGGGCTTCAAGATTTTAGGCTTGAAGGTTTGTGTCCTAAGGCTCAGGGTTTAGGCTGACATTGAAAGACGCTTCCCGGAGACTGTCTGGGATATATAGCGGGGATATTCTTATTTGTGGAGGAAATCCTGCATCACCCTAAGCCCTCAATTTCTAATAAACTTCAGGAGCCTTCACTGCACTGGTGAATCATTTCCTCCATCAAGAGTATGTCGTAGTTCCTAGTACGGTTGCAACCCTGATGACAAAAGATTGACA